AGAAATACCTAGGTATTGGGTTGATGCATAATGCTTTATGGTGGTAAAAAACGAGGATAAAATGAATGATAACATCAGAACTATTAGAGGGTAATTTAGTATTTGCCATATATATAGGATATTCTCATTGGGCCCTATGTGGAATTCTTATCTTTGTTCATTTTGTGTATAAATAGGTGTACTAGGTTTACATTTATATCAATCAATTCCTTCAATCATTAGTGACAGCCTTTAGCATTTATTCCTTTTCTCTCTTCTTCCTCAATTTTATCACCTTGCACTAACAAATTGGTATCAGAGCCAAACACCTTCAGATGGCTAACACTTTGCTTGTCTCCAGTCCATTTTTCTAAAGGAACAATTTCCTTCAGCTTCTTTGTTGGACACCTATTCAGAACATATGATGATGTGGCAACAGCTTCTCCCCATAACATGTTAGGTAACTTCTTCTCTTTCAGCATACTTCTGGTCATATCAAGCAAAGTTCTGTTTCTTCTTTCAGCAAGACCGTTGTGCTGAGGAGTATATGGAGCAGTAACCTCATGTTCTATTCCATTCTCCTCACAGAACTTCTGGAACTCTGTAGAGTTATACTCACCTCCACCATCTGTTCTCAGAATCTTCAGCTTCTGACCACTCTGCTTCTCAGCCTTCACCTTGAACTTCTGGAACTCAGTAAACACTTCATGCTTGAACTTGATGAGTGTTACCCATGTCATTCTTGTGAACTCATCCACAAAAGACACAAAATATTTGTTTCCTCCAAGTGAAGGTACTGGAAATGGTCCACACACATCAGAATGTACTACTCCCAGAGCATGCTTTGCTCTGGGAGCTACTTCTGATGCAAATGGCAATCTGGGTTGCTTGCCTTTCATGCATATCTCACATGACTTCTGAGGCTTCACAATCTTCGAAATGCCATGCACGGGCTTCTTAGAACTTAGATGCCCTAAGCTTCTATAGTTCAAGTGCCCCAACCTCTTGTGCCACAGTTTACTGTCAGCTTCAGCGCCTTCTGCACTAAGACACTCTGCTTCAGAAGTTTCTACATTCACCTTGAATGTTTTGTTGCTTCCCTGCTCAGACTTCATAATCAACTTCTGATTAGAATCATACAACGTCAAGAGATTGTCCTTCATAACCACTGAGAAACCTTTCTCAATAAGCTGACCCACGCTCATTAGATTGCTTTTAATTCCAAGAACATACCAAACGTCTTTGATCAGAATGCTTCTTCCATTCTTCACTCTGACTCTAACATTTCCCATACCTTCTGCATTAAGGTACTTATCATCAGCACATCTGATCTTTGTTCTCCTTCTGGAGTCAAAGTCTATCAGCCATTGTTTGTTCCCAGTCAAGTGGTTTGAACAACCAGTGTCCATATACCACCAATCTCCTGAACAGTTTCCATCAGAATCAGAAGCCATCAGTAGCACAGGTTCATCATCAGAATCTTCTCTGGCTATATTTGCTTCTTCTGATTTCCTTCCTTTGTTTCTACAGTCTCTGGCAAAATGGCCAAACTGTTTACAGTAGTAACATTGAACCTTCTTCTTGTCATACCTTTCCTTTCCCTTATGATATTTCTTTTCATCAGAAGTTGAGGTTTCTGACTTCTGGAATTTATCACCATGTCTATTCTGCTTCTGGTCCTTCTTGACAAAAGAAGCTTTCAGAGCTTGCTCCACTTCCCTCTCAGAAGTTCTTTCAGTCAGACGCAACTCTTGCGCTTCTAGATTGCTTTGCAACTCTTCTATTCTCATGGTTTCCAGATTTTTAGAATGTTCAATAGAAACAACAATGTAATCAAACTGAGGAGTAAGTGACCTCAGAATCTTTTCTATGATTACCTGTTCAGAAAGTGTTTCTCCACAAGCCTTCATTTTATTAGTGATCAGAATCATTCTGGAGATGTACTCAGAAACTTTCTCACTGTTCTTCATGCTGAGATTTTCATATTGTTTTCGCAGGGACTGAAGCTTTACCTTTTTTACTGATACATCACCATCATAACATCTGGTCAGTATATCCCATGCCCCTTTCGATGTCGTCGAATCAACAATCTTCTCAAACACATTTTCATCCACACACTGATGGATAAAGAACAGAGCTTTCTGATCCCTCTTCCTCGTAGCTCTTTCTTCTGATTTTTGTTCTTCAGTAGCACCTGCTGCAACTGGAACATAACCTTCAGAAACAAGATCCAGAACATCCTGAGCACCAAACAGCACACGCATTTGTATCTGCTGACCATTCCAACTGCATAACAAATATCAGGTCTGGTATTACACAAATACCTCAGAGAACCAACCATCTGTTTGAAGGTTGTAGCATCCACATCCTCTCCATCAGAATCAGAATCCAACTTCTGATTCGTATCCGCAGGTGTGATAGCAATCTTGCAATTTGCTAGCTCAAATCTCTTCAGAAGCTCCAGTTCATACTTCTTCTGATGTAAGATGATTCCTTTCTCAGAGTATATAAATTTCATTCCTAGAAAGAAACTCATTTTTCCAAGATCTGTCATCTCAAACGCATTCATCAGAACTTTCTTGAACTCAACTGTTTCTTGTTTAGAACTTCCTGTGAGTAATATGTCATCAACGTACAAACAGACCAGAATCATATTACCTTCTAAAGTATGCTGAACATAAACACCATACTCCATCTCACACTTCTGAAACCCTTGTTCCTTGAAAAACGAATCAATCTGATGAGTGTGGGTCAGCTTATTGAGAAAGGTTTCTCAGTGGTTATGAAGGACAATCTCTTGACGTTGTATGATTCTAATCAGAAGTTGATTATGAAGTTTGAGCAGGGAAGCAACAGAACATTCAAGGTGAATGTAGAAACTTCTGAAGCGGAGTGTCTTAGTGCAGAAGGCGCTGAAGCTGACAGTAAACTGTGAAAACAATATGAAAATCTCCAATTTCTTGGAGTTCCAAGAAACAGTCGGTTGTGACTTTGTCAACATGTGAAGCTGAATACGTTGCAGGTGCTGTAGCTGCGTGCCAAGCAGTTTGGCTTCTGAATCTGCTGCATGATCTGAAGGTTGAAGTTGAGGAACCTTTGAAGCTGATGATTGATAATAAGTCTGCAATTAATCTTGCAAAGAATCCAGTGCTACATGGAAGAAGCAAGCACATTGAGACGAAGTATCACTTTCTCAGAAGTCAAGTGCAGAAAGGAGTGTTAGAAGTTCTGCACTATAGCACTCAGAAGCAGCTAGCAGATGTTCTGACAAAGGCGATAAAAACATACCAATTTCTTCGCCTGAGAGATGAAATTGGTGTTGTTAATTTCTGATAAGTTATTAAATTACGGGATGGTATTAGAAGGTAATTTAGTATTTGCCATATATATAGGATATTCTCATTGGGTCCTATGTGGCATTCTTATCTTTGTTCATTTTGTGTATAAATAGGTGTACTAGGTTTACATTTATATCAATCAATTCCTTCAATCATTAGTGGCAGCCTTTAGCATTTATTCCTTTTCTCTCTTCTTCCTCAATTTCATCACCTTACACTAACAGGAACAACGAGTCGATTAGGTGGTTCCAGCGCTAGAATTATTGGCAATGACACTCTTGATGGAAATTGAATCGAAATAAAAATAGAAGAAATTGGAAGAAACAAGAGAAAAATCATTCCACCGGGATCAAAAACTTTGAGTTTGTTGAGGTTTAGAGAAATTACTTGTGCATACATACTAAATGTATTAGATGATAGTGGTTTGATTTTTACCTCACTCAAGTGTTGCATAGTGGATGGCGATGAATGCTTTTGCTAAGATGCGCTCAATCCGACTGGAAAATTGCAAGGAGAGATTGAAATACCTTTTGGTAGTTGCACACTGAGTGACATGACAAATGCAATAGTTGGTTTTCGTTGGTCCAACAATGTGGATTTCTCTTGGTTTGTGACTATGGAATTGATTGTTGACTTCTCTTTGATTACATCAATTTTGGGGTGTAAGTTTTCGAAGAGTTAACCTTTGGTCCCTCGTTCTGCTACTGCTTTATGAGACATTCAATTTCTGGTTCGATTTCTTCTTCATCCATCACTATTATGTGAATACTTTTATGATGTAGCAATTGATGTTCTAAAGTAAAAGGCTCATCACATAAGAAACATAAACTCATTTCCATCTTCTCTTCTATTTCCATGGCACCCAAGTTTGTATTTAGAAGCCATCTTGCACGCTAAATCGAAGGCTCAGGATACTAATTGAGACGGAAAATGGATTCTAGGGATGAACCAATAAAATCCATGTCTCAAAGTAGAGATTTTAATGATTTAGAATACAATCTGATACAAATGAGAGATGAGATGAGCATAATATTGAATGAGAAAATTTGAATGTCGATTGATTTTCAATTGAGAGAATTTGAATTTGAAAATAATTTGTTGAATGTTGATTGATTTTCAAATGAGACACAATGCCTTTAAATACAATATCAAGGCTAAAAAAGTAAAATACATAAAATAAACTAATAATCTAATACTTAATTCCTTGTAACACATTTATGACGTTGTTCTATGTGTTGACTGATATTCTCATACCCTCGTACCCTCATCATTGTTAATCTATTTCGGATACACATTTATTTTTATTTTTATTTTGAACAATGCCTGCTGAATATATTTAAGTCGAAAAAAACTTGGAGAGTCCTTGACACAATTTAAACAGAAACTGTATCTTAAATTTTGATGTATCTAATGTTAATTTTTTTAACTAAATATACTAACTTTTCAGATACAATTTTTGTTTATATTTTATTCTTGATATAGTATTTAATTAGCTTTAGCCATGTTCTATGCTAAACCAAAGTCAATGTGGTTTCAGTGGATTAGCTTGATGAAGACATTTCTACTTTCCTGTCATATTTTTTGTATATAATTTTGAATATAATACAACACCATATTTGTCCTAAAACGTTCAAATGCTGAAGGGCTGTGATGCAAAACATGGCAATGTCTACTCTTCAATTGTTAGTCCAAGTTTTTAAGAGATGTCTTCTTTCGAGCATTTCTATTGCGTCTTGGAGGCTGTTTCAACAACTTGATTAACTCATATGTTCTGATACTTTGACCCGAGTAAAGACAAAGGTCAAGTGGAGTTAAACCATCCTGAGACAAACAAAAAGAGAAATCGAATTCAAAAATACCAATGTAAAAGAAATCGCTGCTCTTCTGCTACACAACTGGTTACATTCAATTACTTTCGTTTTCAAGTCATAACTAGTTTCTTTGTATCGGTGTCATGTATGGTGTTTGTGTCAGTGTCAGTGTCGCTATCAAAACACAATTACCTTGTTTTTTAATGTCTTATCAGCACCTTTAATCAGCAGAAGCTTTACTACATCACTTCTCTGAGTTTGAACTGCAAGATGTAATGGTGTCCAGCCATCCTAAGACAGAGCAAATGAATTATGTTCTCAAACAGTGCTCCACAGAAGAATAAGAAGTAGATAAGCTAAGTTTGGAACAATTAACCATACATTGTCCTGAAGATTTATATCCACATTATACAACAAGAGCGCTTTTATTGTTGAGACAGAAGCTGTTTGTACAGCATAGTGCATTAAGGTAGCCCCATCCTGTTTCAAGCACAAACAATAAAGCAGATGTATAAAATTTCAGCGACACCAATAGGTAAGTCCGGCTTTAACAACTATATGCTATTATATAAAGGACATGTATAAATTGACTTATTTAAGTTTATCTACATACATAAAACAACTTATGATATGTTCATAAGTTGTTTTCATTATGACATGTTTGTAAGTTGTTTTCAACATATCTTCATAAACTCTCAAGGATAGCTTATATGAAAGCATTTACTTTATTTATCTGTTGTAATACAAATAACTTATACATAAGCATCTATTTGATAAGTGTTTATACTAGAGCTTAATTAAACAGTCTATCTATCCAAACAGAGCCTAAGATGCAATGATAACGGCAATGAGTTTTAAGTAGGGATAAGAAAAGCACAGAATATAAGCTGCAGAAGAAAATCAACAAATAAAGGCTCATGTATGCAACTTACGACGGCACAGCCCACAAATAAGTAACTTTTTACTCACATTATCTTGTACAAAAGGATTGGCTGAGTTTCGCAGGAGATGATTGGTTATGCCACGCTTTCTTACAATTATCGATTTGTAAAGAGCGGACAAACCATCCTAAAAAAAAAGTAAAACAAATCAGAATAGTTTTAATAGAGGATTCCACACATTTAAATCTTCTCTTTAAAAGTTAGTTTTCACGTACCTTATCCGTAGCATTAATATCAACCCCGTGCTTCAACAAAGTTTCTAAGAGGAAAGATTCTGCGCTCGCAGCAAAAGTATGTAGAGGAAGCCATTTATCCTATATAAATAACTAGTATTAGGCTATTAGCCATTGAAAAAATAAATATAGAGATTATTCACCAAATGCAACAATGTTTCTTAGTCCCAAACATAGTTCCAACTTCGGAAAAAATGCAACGATGTTTCTTAGTCCCAAACATGAATATCAATTTGAATTTCAAATTGTGAATCGGAAAACCTATTTTCCAAGTCATGAATCAAATCTTATTACGAGTCGCAAGATACATTGTCAATAAAATTATGTCATTTTTAAGTAAAGAGTGGCATGAAAAAATTATATGCTGATACACCATATATGAACCTAAAAATAATTCAAGATTCAAATCATATATCAAATAACAAAAAAAAAAGGATGGAGATACAAAGGTGGCAAAAAAGAGTGGGTGGCAACACTAAAATTCAGGTAGCAATTCATTAAAAAGAATCAAGATTCTTCATTGTGAATCGGGATTCAAGATGAGATTCATGGCCAAATAGATATACACCTAGAGATCTGTATCAAATGGGTTCAGTTTAGTACGAATCAGGATATGACTTGCATGCATCGTAAGATACTGATAACCATGATCCAAGATATCAGCCCAATACGACTGACAACATCAGCAACTAATACGACTACTCAACATCGAAATGAAGGAAAGCAAGAAAACTCTTATTTTCTGATAAAGTAAGAATACTTACTGAAGTAGCAACTGACAAGTCTGGCTTATTCATACTCAACAAAGCCTTCTCCTCCTTCGTAAACAACTTAGGACGACCTATTCACGCAAGCACAACAGAATGAAAATGAAAATCCCAACACTTAAAAACCATATATTTGCAAAACAATGAGAAGCAACAGTTATCAAGATAAAGATTTTCTTGAATTCAACAATCACTGAATAAAATAACACATTTCATCACAATTGAATTACTCAGTCTGCATCATCATCAATGAAGTACCATAGGGTCTGAAGTAGCACTAGTTTAAGAGCCATTTTGGATAAATTTCATCAATCATAATCTATGAAAGCCCAACACAGACCCGATACTAAATATGACACTAACACTGACAGAGACACGTAGACACCAACACGGACACAGACACTAGGCACTGGTAGTAATTTAAAAATTGGAAGTGATTGAAGTTAACTCCCAAACATGTATTCAATATGAAGCATCAAGCAATAGAGTCCTAAACACATCCACACAAAAATCAAAACCAAAAAGAAAAGGTAGATACTAGATAGTAATTACCTTCAGTTTTCTTAACAGCAAGTTCATAACTTTCACTATTCAAAAACTCATTAACATCCTCCAAACCTCTTCCATAAACAGCCCACCTAGGATTCTTAGGCTGAACACGTTCATCACCAGACCCATCATTCAATTCATCTTCCAACTCTTCCTCTTCCTCTTTCTCAGCAAAACTAGAACTTGGAGGCTTATCAAGAACCACGGGTTTCAACTTGGCCAACATAGCGTCTCTATAAGCCTGATAATCCTCCAAACTCATATTCCTCAAAGGAGCCAACCCTCTTTTCTTCTTCAAAACCTTACTATTGAACTCAATCTCCTGGGCTATCTTACGAGCCTCTTTCTTCGTTATGTTTAACGCTGCTTGAACTTCTCTCCACTTGTCAGGAACCAAATTCTCAGACTTAATGGTTACTGTTTTCTTCTTCTTTTTCTTGGAAGTGGGTTTTGGTTGTTTGTTGTCTACGAGGTGGTCGGGAGAAGGAAAAATGGGGTCTTCGAAAATGCCTTCCTCGAAGACGAGACAATCTCCGATTACATGTTCTTCGTAGTTGTCGTTTTGGTACGATGAGGAGAGAGAATTGTGGAGGTTCCAGTTTGTGGGGAGTTTGAGAGATTGAAACTTGTGGGGTGTGGCGGAAGAAGGGAGGAATGGGAAGGGAGAGAAGAAGAGTGTGTTGGATTGAGGATTGTGCACAAGAGTGGAGAAATTGAACATACTTGTTGTTGATAGTGCTTTTGCAATTCTTAACATTTCAATTCAATCAAATAGATGAGAGATTCTAAGTTTAAGGATTTGCCCTTTTTTTCTTTTTATCATACTTATTATTTTAATGTACTTTATGTAATTTTTAGTGTAAGTTAGTTGAACTAAATGAATGTAAAATGTTAATGTTGAGAATATATTCATATAGAATATATTTTATAAAGTATATATTCATTAAATTATTTGTTCAAAATTTTCTGTATTATTTAGGAGTGAAATTGATTTGGTTTTGGCTGGTTTTTGATTAAAAAATATTTGAAATGATGATAATTTTATTATTAATTTTGTTTGGTTTATTTTGGTTTGATTTTAATATTATTTGATAACGGAATTGAAATAAATTAATCGGTTTGGTTTGGTTAATCAATTTACAATTTTTTTTTTAAATATTGTATTCATCAATATATTATTCAATGTCGTTTTTCTTTTTTTGTATTTGATGCTATTATTTTTAAAAATAATATATTTCATGTAATTTATTTCATATTCTATTTATTTTTCAAATAAATTATTAGTTATTTTAATCCATACAAAACAGTAACATGATTTTCATTGCATTATAAAATAAATTCATTATCAAATATAAAACTTGACACTTGACATCGAGAAAGTCGGAAAGGGAATTGAAAATGTAACAAATAAAACACAACAATAACAACATAAAATTAAAACACATATAAATTAGCATGTTTCACGGCTTAAACACATATTAAAACTATTTTGTAACAAGATTATCACTAGTGCAAAAATGACTTTTTACATCGGGTGAAACTGACTTTTTACATCGGTTCTGGGTCCGATGTAAAGTCAGACGATATAGTAAATCAGGTACTTTTTACATCGGTTCTGGGACCGATGTAAAAAGTCTCTTTTTTACATCGGTTATAATATAAGAATGATGTAAGAAATAGTTATTACAATATTTTAAAAAAAATGATGTAATTTTTTACATCGGTTGGAAGTAATACCCGATGTAAAAAGTCTCTTTTTTACATCGGTTATAATATAAGAACCGATGTAAGAAACAGTTATTATGCATATTTTTTTAAAAAATTGATCCAGTTTTTTACATCGGTTGGAAGTAATACCCGATGTAAAAAGTCCCTAGTGACGCAACTTTTTACATCGGCTATTACTCCCAACCGATGTAAAAAGTCCCTTTTTGAAAGTTTTTACATCAGTTTTGAGTAATAACCGATGTAAAATGTAAGAAATTTTTTTGGAATAGATTATTTATTTTCTGGATGTTTCCCTGTACAAATATAATTTGTACCCATTTTTTCATATTTTTCCAATATCACACAGACTATATTTATGTCGCTATATAGATTTCATAGCTTTCCAACATCACATATATCACATCTAGGTCGATGTTTTCATATTTTTCACAACAAACTTACAAATTGAACAATTGTATTGCAAATTTGTATTGTATTACAACAAACAAACTCACAACAAACTTACAATTACAAATTCTTCACAAAATATACAACAATATTCAACTATTTATAAGTCTTTTTCAAAACTTACAATTACATATTATTCACAAAATATACAAAAATATTCAACTATTTCTAAGTTTCCAAACTTGAATTACCAATATAAAATCTTCGGTAGACAACACCAAAATCACATTGCCTGACAATAAATAATAACAATTAACATCAGCAAAAAAAAATCAAGAAACTCAATACATGTGCAAAAACCACATGTATTGTGCAAAAACCACAACTTATACAATTCTATAAAACTCACCAAGATAAACTTAATTTTCATGTAACTCAAAGAAACATTTTGCCCAACAAAGTCGCAAATCATACAAATCATCTGGTGTTAATTATGTTGGGTCATCAAATACCTATAATACATAAATATAACAATATAGAGTTATTTTTAAAAAATTCATATTAAGTCGAAAAACAAAAAGTAAATAACAAAGTAAAGTTATTTTTAGTACCTGCATCCAATTCTCGGTTATATTAGCAGAGACAATATCCAACATATTTTTCATCACATAGTATCCATAATCATTAGAGTTATGTTGTTGTCTGGTCTACAATTGAATGACATAATTAGTGAATATTTATCATAAATTTAACTATAGAATTACAATTTACATCACACTTACATTGGGATGAAGCCATGTAGCCTTTTTTTTATTTCCATTTGCCATTTGATGAATCCCAAAAGAACTAATACAGAAAGATAAACATCACATAGCTAAATTTACTCGCCAATGAAAAATCACATAACTATTAGTTGTCAATGAAAGTCACATGAAAGATAAACTTACTTTGTAATAATTTTCTTCGTGTGATGGTCAATTTCCCGATGAAGTGAACAAAATACAACAACTAAATTGTCTCTTGGACACATGACTATTAATTGCCAATGTCTCCTGTACGTGTGTGTGGAAACAGAAAAGTCACATAAAATATATATGTTATCAAAATTAAATAATATAAAACACAATTTCATAAAAATTCTTACCCATGAATTAATGGTAGTAAGTGGCACACTCTGTTTTCATCACGTAACTTTTCTAGTACATAATTTTTAACATCTTCTTGAGATTTCGCTACATTATCATTATAAATACACCTAGCAGGGTCCATAAATCCATATAATTCTGAAATGGAATTCTCAAGACAAACACGATGAATATACCTGAATAATTTTAAAATAAACATTAGAATCAAAGTGATGAGAGATATAACATATTAATATAGATTGACTTTAATAAAACAATAAAATGTACTTACATGCACCAAATTTGCATAATAGACACGTCAAGCCAATGACCTAAATCCACCAATAACTCTCTGATACATTTAGCTGAAACATAAAAATTAGAGACACTCGCACAATGACTTAATTGTATTGCCAAATGGTTATCATCTATTTTCAAAACCATGAGTAACAATCTCTGAACATCATCAACTTCCACGTCTTCTGTGCTCTCTTTTGTGCTTCCCTTTGCAGCTGAACAACTTCCTTTTCCGCTTCCATCGATAATTTCCAATTTTTCAATGCATTTATTATCACCTGTGCTTTGTGATAAACCCATAGACTTAAGTGTCTCCATTAATGATTGTTGAAACATCTTACGCTCTTCAACCAACTTTTCTTCAAGTTCAGCTCTAAGTTTTGTTTCCAATATTGCAAGTTGTTCATTTACGTCGATATGTTGACGTGATCTTCCAAAGTAAGTGCTTTATTTATGGTGTTTTCCAACACCACGAACACTGTAATCTCAAGCCTCAACTCAACTTTAGTTTTGATGAAAGACAAACAAGCTAGTTTGATGAAAGACAAACAAGCATTATGGCAAGAAGGAAAAGAAGTGAAATTAACTTAAAGCATCATTCACTCAAAGCTTCAAGAATCATGGCAAGCAATCAAGTATATCAATTCTCAATTGAACTACATTGATTAGAAATGCTCAAAAATGATATACACACTTGCCACAACACTTCACTTATATTTCAAAACAAATTTTTAGTTTTTCTCTGCTGTAAATCGATTAACATCTTGTGTAAATCGATTTACACATGCTTTTTCAAAAAACTGATTGTCTCTGCCAGCAATCGATTTACATGTTGTGTAAATCGATTGATCACAGAACAAACTGAATTTTTAACTCTTGTAAATCGATTTACACAACATGCTAATCGATTTACACTTCAAATTTTTTGAAATTCTGAACATTACAAACCCATGTGTTGTACCCCAAAATTTGCCCTCCCATATTCTTCAAGATTTGCCAAAGATCAATCTCCAGATGATTCAAAATCACTCAAGGGTTGCATAGTCCAATTGCCTCCTAGCACAGTCAAAATTAGGGTTTTGGTTCTTGCAAAGAAATTGAAGTTTTCAAGGGTCCAATCAAGTCCCATATACCCATAAACATTGTCAAGCATCCACATGCCAAGTTTCAAGACTCACTGCATCAGATTGCACAGTCAAAAACCCTAAATGCTTCACAGTCAACTGTAGGGGCAAAATGGTCATTTGACAGTCAAACGTCAAAAAATTTGGTCAACATCTTATTTTGAAGCCACAAACATCATTTGATAAATTATTGATCATGATTTCACAAGCATGGCTCAAAAAGTCTCAAGATGCAAAAGTTTCTATTTTTGGACAGTTGAAAAAGTCAACTGCAAATTGACCAGGGCATAACTTCTTCATGGTTTATCAGAAAAATCCCATCCAAAGCTCATTTTGAATATAATGACATTTCCTACAACTCATCTTCACACTTCAAGTCCAAGAAATGCTCTCACAAAAAGTTATCAATTCCAACATTATAGGTCATTTTCAAAAGTCAACAAAAAGGCACTTTAAGTCAAAGACCATAACTTGAGATTGGTAAATCAAAATGACATGGGACCAAAGGAATTGGTTAGAGGACTTCAAGACCTTTCCAAAATGTCCAAGAACATGATCATAGCTTCAACATTGAGCAGGATATGCCTTGTAGAAGTTGGGAAATTTTTGGGAATTTTGAAAAGTCAACTTTGCACAAAAGGCTTCAAAAATGCTAATGGGCCACAAATCCTTCCATGAATCATTACCCAAAGGCTATGCACGACCCATTGACCTCAAAGGGATGTATTTTCTTATTTTTGATTAATTATTTGAATTTTTATTATTATTAATTCACTTAATTAAATTTAAATATGAAAAAATATCAAATAACACTTATCAAATCTTTTTGTGCAGCGAGTTCACTCATTATGAGTTAAATATCTCGTGCATCAATCAACAAGGACAAAATCATCCAAATTTGGCATAATTGGCATGGAAAAAGATTGGAAAAGGTATGAACAAAATCAAATATTGGAATCATCAATACATGGACTTTGGGCTTGGTTTTTTAACCTAATTCCATTCACTTACATATGCATAACCTAAACCTATTCCATTGGACACGAAAAACTGCATACAAG